GTGCAGTTACGTGGCAGGATCTGTTGGATTTACAGCTTCCTTAAAGCCAAAGCATCTAAACAGGGCTGTGTCAGCTTCTGTTAGGTCCACTCTTCCCTACAGCCAATATTCCTCTTACACAGCTAGGTATCCTGACCTCCTAGAGATCCACTGCCAGACAGTAAAGTCCCATGCACAAGGCTAGGGGTCACATCCTGCTAGTAACCCCGGACATGGGCAAACACCCAGGCACAGCTCTCATATTCATATAAGGCAAGTGTCAGGTCAGGTGTTTGTCTCTAGCCTTATAACCAAAGTTCCACATACAGAAACATGGTTAGGTTTTAGGATCTGCTGGGTACCTTCTTTCCCATAGGAAAACACCAGGTTAACAAACATACAACCTACCAATGTAAGTATGCACACATGCACATATACAAACAATCATGCATGCAGGCCTGTGGGAACCCTCCCCAGGGTGTGAGTCCCAGGAGTTTTTTCCCTAGCCCCATGAATGGAGCTATGGATTTAGGGGAAGGCTAGGACTCGGTACCTACCTCCGAGTGTGTGGCATTGTTGTCGAACTGGGGTATTCCTCACAGAAATACAAGTAGTCATGTATGTGTTTATGGCTTTGGCTCTAAGGGTGGGACTACAATGCTATCATTGACACCTAGCCCTGTGTGGAGAGCTAGGGCTTAAAATAGAAGTCCATTAGGACTTGACTTTGTAAGTGTGTGTGTGGGGTTGTACATTAGCTTGGTGAAGTAATGCCTAGAAGGTCTTCACACACCTACCCTACAGCCAAAGACCTTCATACACATATATGGCTCACTATCAGTTCCTTCTGGATAAACCCTTCCTTACAGCCTAGCCAAACTGACACAAATCTCAGAACCTGCTAGAATGTCACCCTCTGTTGAACAGACCCACCTATGACTAGGGTATCATGTCCTCCTCAGTATCACCTCCCCAAAAGCAAAGCTTCAAATATACTAGCCAGGTTTCACATCACACCAGGTACCCTAATCTCTGCAGCCAATGTTACAGGTACACAAAGAGATGAAGTTAGGTCATTCTGACTGCCCCCAGACTTATAATCAAAGACTCATCTCTGTCTCTGTCTCTCTCTCTCTCTCTCTCACACACACACACACACACAACTATGTATCTCTTTTAGACATTTCCTCCCTGCAGGAAAGTCCCACATACACACACAGGGCTAGATTTCTATTCCTGCTAGGTACAATCTCCCTAGGATGATCTCAGAAGAACCTCTAAGAGGACGTGGTATCTAGCTGAGTAAGAGGAATATACATACAGCCAAAGCTAGACACAAAAAGCTAGGTGTCAGTTCTTTTGGTATCCATTCCCCTCTGTGTATCTTTATGCTTTATACTCACTTCAGAAGTTTGGGAGCCAGAAACAGCTGATGGAGATGACCTCTGGCATTTGTCTTTCTGGATCTGGGTTCTCTCACTCAATATCTTTTCCACATCCATCCATTCACACAGAAGGATGGCTTAAACAAAGAGGATTATTTGCTGAGTGTCTGAAACTAGTCCTGTGATTTTGCTGTTGCATGCAGTTTACAGGACTCATTTCTTTATTAATGTCTAATGTGGGAGATCAGGCCCAATGTGGGTGCCTCCACCCCTGTACATTGGTCAGGAATTGTGTAAGAAAGAAAACTGAATTATCCATGAAGAGCAAGTCAGGAAAGATCTGTCCTCTGAATTTGCTAGAGTTCCTCGAAAACTTCCCTAATGATGGACATTGAACAGGACATGGGGGCCAAATAAACTCTTTCTACCACATTGGGTTATGTCAGGACCTGTCTATCAACAATACAAAGTATACTAAGACAGTATCCCAGGCCTGGCCTAATTTGGAATCCTCCAAACTTCACCTACTGACTGCTGGCTTTAAGACTATAATATAAACCTACATGAACAAATAGAATTTTTAAGGTTGACTAGATCTCAGTGAGAAAAGAAATCAAGGACCAGTACAATACAAACCCATGGGGTGAGGTTATTTTAATGAAGTTAATCATCGAACACATCTCAAGCAGACAGATTGGAAAATACTGCTGAATGAGGGTGGACACAACAGATAGTGCCGATGATATATACAGAGAGAGGGGAGGAATCTGAGTGTATTTTTAGTATGTTAAGCACCAATCACGATATAAACACAGGAGTGAAATCATTTGAGATAGTTAATCATGGGGCATATAATTAATAACTGATTGCTGAAACCTCAGATTAGGAGGCTGGCAGAACTGTGAAAACATCATGGCTTGTTCACTCTCTGGATCCAATGTTGGTGAATATACCCACTGCACTCTGTGGAACATGGCTCATGAGGTCAGAATACATGTTAGCACATTGTGACCAGCACACACAACCATTGTAATACACATAACCTGGCTCATGAGATCAGAGCGTGTGGGATATTCTGAATCCTGCCCCAGGACACCTCATCTCATTTCCTGCATTCTGGTTGATGAGGTCAGAAGGGATACCATTTCTAGATCATCCAGCATCAGGAAGTTTTCCCACCTACAAACCAGCACTGTGTGTCTCCACACCTGAGCTCAAGCAGAACACAGATGAACCTAGCACAGCCACACTAGGAACACCAAGGATCAATCCAAATACTCCCAACAGAAAGCAAACAGAAACACTCAAGTAACAAACTAAATCCAGATGGGCAAGGCCCATGACAAAACCAGAAGTAACATGAAAATTCAGGACAACATAACTCCTCCCAAAATGACCAGTTCCAAAGTAGTGGCCAACAATAAGAGAATTAACCGAATTCAAGGCTGGGTAACATGGAAAACCCATTGGCAGATGCATGGATCTCCCTGGGAGGGGGAAATAAAAGAATATCTTCTGGGGTCAGGTGAGGATGGGAGCATGAGGGTTTGGGTTGGGAGGTGCATGAAGGGGCACTCTACTGAGAGATGACTGGAACAGGGGACCATAATGGGGCCAGGTAGAACATGATGCAAGGGGAACTCCCCGAAATCTATGAGGATAAACCCAGCTAAGACTTCTAGTAATAGTGGATACACAGCTTGAACTGCCCGTCTCTAGTGGTCAGTTTGATGGCTACCTCAATTGTCATCAGGGAGCCTTCATTCAGCAACTGATGGAAATAGATGCAGAGATTCACAGCAAAGCATTAGATTTCTTTTGGGTTCAGGGAATCCTGCTGAAGAGAGGGAGGAAGGATTATAGGAGTCAGAAGGGTCAAGAATACCACAAAAAGCAGAAACAAGTAACCTGGGTCATTGGAACTCACAGAGTCTGAACCAACAACCAGGGAGCTTGTATAGGAATGACCTATGCGTTCTACATATATGTGACAGATGTGTAGCTTGGTCTACTTGTGTGACTCCTAACAATGGTAACAGGGGCTGTCCCTTGGGCTTTGGCTGGCTCTTGGGAACCTATTTGTGAGTCCCTGCTGTGCACCACTCTGCTTCCTAACACATACTGCTCAGTATAATCCCAATTGGGCAAGTCCTGACTCACAGAAGGATAGAGAACACTGAGATGAGGTCCTTAGATGGACAAGAAAACATGGCTATTACTCTGGGAATATATTGGTGTCATTGGGCAGATACTTTTGTGGGGTGTGGGATGTGAGCACTTTTGAAGATCTGGCAGATCCAGTGCTGGGTGGTGATTAGGATAACCCACATGGCAGGGACCATGTCAAGGAAGGACTGATGCTCCATTAGTGGAAGCAAACTGCCCATGAGTAACGTCCCCGATGGGTAAGGTTTGTTATTATGCATGTCTTTCCTGACCTCACCCAGCAGCTTACTCCCCAGCTTGTCCATTGCTGGGACCCAAGGAAAGTTAAAGCACTCTGAGAGCAGTGGGCTATGGAGACCACCTGGTGAGACTTAAGGAGGACAACTCCACAGTGATGCCAACCCCAGTAAAGCAATGTGCAATGCCATGACCATTGACCTTCAGCTGTGTCTTGTCCATAGCATACCTCTCTTCCCACCTTGGTTTTACATCATACTGTGTAGATATTCAGTGTCACAAGTTAATGACCAAGATCTCATATAGAAAATAATTCCCAAATGATGTTGATCCTCCATGGACTCTAAGAATGAAGTTAAAGACCAAGGCCAAAGGGCAAGTGGCATGGCACTAATGACTATGGGGTCTGCTCATTGCTAGCTCATTGCCCACCAGAAAGAACCAGATGGAATCCTTACCATGAGAGCTCTATGACAATAAAAGCTAGCAAAGTAGGAGATTGGAAGAAGGTATAAGGTTCCATAGCAGCCCATGCCAGGAGCAGCTGAGTGGGTAAGAGGCCTTGGGACTTCATTTCCTACACTAACACACCTTATCCCTTATACCAGGCAAGTGTTCCCCAATCACAAAGGAGTGACTGGAGATCTGTCTTCACCCTCAGGTACCCTGTCCTTTCTGCAGCTGTCAGTGAGCCAGTCCTGGACACCTCTCTGGTACCCTGATTCACATGTAGACACAACTGAAGATTCTGACTCCACCTTGTATTGATGACTTCTCAGGGATCACATGGTTCTGTGGGGAAGACAAAGGGAGAACACTACCCATTTTCAGTCCCTTTGAGACTGTTGGCCCCTCCTTTCATCTAACCACTCCCCTTCAAATCAAGATTGGGACTGAACTTTAGAATCTCAGAGCTCAATGACCACTGGCTTGAAAATCATCTGCAGCCCTGGTTTTCCCTGGTTCATACTTATCCAGTTCTTAAATTCTCAGAAGACTTTAGGTGATGGGGTGAACATGACCTTTGCATTTAGATTTTACAGTACTGGCAGGTAAACCAGGGGCCTAGGGTTACATATTCTCACTGCCCTGGTCGTCCTCCCTTATGCCAAGGTCTGAAAACAAATTAACCCTGACTTGCCTGATACAGGCCCTCCACCTGCTAGGAAAGTCATGGAACTTTCTGATAAGTTTTTGCACCCTGAAGGCAATCCCAATTAAACTGAATCAGACAGAAATATAAAAGCCCAGGTTTAATGGTTAAAGTGTTCCCAGATGAATTCCCTGCCCCTCAAAGAGGAGACAGCGACAGGAGACTGGAAGAACCACATGTCTGTTTTCTGGGACGCAGCTCTGGGGGAGGAGCTGTGTTTGGCAGGCTTTGAAGGGGTGGATTTGGGGAAAGAGATGGGGGAGGAGAGTTAAGATCAATCTTCCACCAGACTCCTACCAAACTTTCCAGACTCTGGGTATAGGGAAGCCAGATTAATAATTAGTGTTCTATGATAGTCAAGCTTATAGTCGTATTAAATTTTCCATGTATACATAGATATAATTCAATTAGGTAGGTAATCTTCAAACACTTCAAAGACCTACAGAATATGGCATTTAAAATGTTTTAAAAATTTAGGCTTTCTTTACAGTGAGACATGTCTGCTCCCAACAGCACCAATTTACTTTAGAGAGGAGGATGGGCATTGAAGACACTCTATATGGAGTTTATGTTCTTCTTGACAAAAATAGCCATTTGGGCAAGAAACTCTTCTTGCCTGAACTGCTTGACAAAATGATGTATCGACTGGACATGCAGGACCCATAGGACTTACCAGAAAATCTTCGGTGATTGGAGGAACAGGGGATGAAAATGTCATGTAGGCAAGTACATCACCCTCCTGATGTACATCCTACAAATTTCCACATTGTCTCCTTATGCTCTTGTAAATCTGAGGTTAAAGAAGCTCCCCTCTCATAAATAAATCGTTTAAAGCTACTTGATCAAAGCCATGAGAAGAATTAGTGTAGTTGTTCAGGATGGAAAGGGAGAGGAGGAAACAACAACAAATACAAAATACTGTTGTTTTTCTTGAGTCGTGATTGGCCCATTGCATGTGACATCACAAGGACTCGCTGTGAGGCAAGTTAAATACCAGTCCATATAAGGCACTATCTGGGGCTGAGTTTTGTCCTTGTGCTATAGGTAAGGAGTTGGTTGGTGGATGAGCAGTTGGACTCAGTCATTTCTCATAGACTTGGACTTTCCCAACCAGATGGATCTTGGGAAAGTGTGTTTTCCTTGTTTTCTGTTTAGGTTTTGTACTCAGCTTTTATTGATTGATCTTTTTACAATATTACTTTTTGTTTTAAAATGTGCCAGTATTTCTACTTCTTCACTGAGATTTTCCATTTTTTCAAAGTCATTTCTTTGTCATTGTGAGTTGTGTTCTGGCTTATTTTATACTTTGCTGGTGTGGATGTACACAATGAGGAATTTGATCAGGATTACATAGTCCTCCTGTAGTAAACTCTGGTAACATTCACCAGCTCTATGCCACCTCCCTGCTCATGTCATATGATTATTACTTCCCAAAATACAAAAACTTGTCCCCTTGTCTGAATGTGTCCAGAGCTAGACGAAAATTAATATTTTTGTGTTTGTGAAAGTGGATTGTTTGTGGCGAAACTTTCTCTAGTTCCATGTGTGTCCCTGGCAGGGACATTTCATTCCTGTTCATGGGTGACTATGTCCACTTAATGTTGTGACTATGCTATGATCTTTCTTAATTTTTGTATGTTCATTGATTCTTGTGTTCATAGCAAAGGCATCTTGATCATGAATGGTCTTTTTAGTGTGTCATTGAGTATGAATTAAAGCATCTAGGACTCTCATGGAGGATAGTCTCATGCTCTTAGTCAAGGACCCTGCCAGATACTTGTCTCTTTCAATGTGTCTTTACTTGGTTATAGAGTAAGGGCTTTATGAAAAGTGTTTATTTTATGAATGGATTTGAAAGAATGCCTTCCCTCAGTTCTAGGGACTACTGGAGTACTTGTGGATCATTACAGCTATTTCTTTAGATTACTGGATTCATCAGTGAATTCTCCTGGTTACAATACTAGACAGTATTGACCCATCGGTTCTTTCAGATCATGTTGCCTAGTTGTATTACGTGGACTTTTAAGTTTACCTCTGATTCCTGTATCTCTCCTTGTTGTATCAGTTTGTTTCTTTAGTGAGGAGTAAGGTATAGATGGAGGTTATAGAAGAACTGTGGTGCTAGGAGAGATCCTCCTTCCCGTCAAAAGGACTTTAGTAATGATGACCACTGAGCAGGAATCTGAAGCATTTGCTTTTTTTAGATTGTTTTTTTATTTATTTAATTGTTGCTCTCAGTGTCTGTGCTCCTGGTGTTTTATTTAGGAAGTGGTCTCCCGTGCCAGTGCATTCAAGACTACTTCCTACTTTCTCTTCTATCAAGTTCAGTGTAACTGAATTTATGTTAAGGTTTTGATCCACTTGGACTTGAGTTTTGTTCAGGGTGACAGATATGGATCTATTTTCAATCTTCTACATGTTGACATCCAGTTATGCCAGCACCATTTGTTGAAGATGATTTCTTTTTTCCATGGTACAGTTTTGGCTTCTTTGTCAAAAATCATATGTTCATAGGTGTGTTTGTTAATGTCAGTGTCTTCAATTTGATTCCATTGGTCCCCATGTCGGTTTTTATGCCAGTAAAAGCTGTTTTTTTTATTACTTTGGTCTATCACAGAGCTTGAAGTCAGGGATCCTGATGCCTCTAGAGGTTGCTTTATTAGACAGGATTCTTTTAGCTATCCTGGGTTTTTTGTTTTTCTTTTTAAAAATATTTATTTATTTATTATGCCTACAGTGTTCTGCCTGCATATATCCTTGAACGCCAGAAGAGGGCACCAGATTTCATTACAGATGGTTATAAATCATCATGTGGTTGCTGGGAATTGAACTCAGGACCTCTGGAAGAACAGCCAGTGCTCTTAACTTCTGAGCCATCTCTCCAGCCCAGGTTTTTTTGTTTTTCCATATGAAGTTAAGTGTTGTTATTTCCAAGTCTGTGAAGAATTGTGTTGGGATTTTGATGGGGATTGCATTGAATCTATAGATTGCTTTTGGTAAGATCAACTTTTGCTGTTAATTCTACCTATCCATGAGCATGGGAGATCTTTCCATTTTCTAATATCTGCTTTGATTTTTTTCTTCAGAGACCTAAAGTTCTTATCATACAGGTCTTTCACTTGCTTAGTTAGAATTACCCCAAGGAATTTTATATTATTTGTGGCTATTGTAAAGGGTGATGTTTCTCTGATTTCTTTCTCAGCCCTTTTATC